ATAACTACATATATATAATATAAGAAATATACACACACACATATATATATATATATATGTGTATTTATTATTATTATTATTATTCTATAATGCACTAGCAGATCACAGATCTGATGCGTACATATCACTGCACTTGTGTTCATTTTGTTGGTTTTAAATGTTTGTCTAGTCTGTTTTTAAAAATGTTCACTGATCCAGCACTAATTACACTTTCCGGTAAACTATTCCAAATGGTCACCACGCGATTTGGTAGAAAGTGTCTTCTAGGGTTGCTAACAGACGGAGACCTGGTGAGCTTCAATGGGTGTCCTCTCAATCGGGTATTAGAATTCATAGTGTAGAGGTTTCCGATGTCTTTCACATTGTAGTGTCCAGTTAATATTTAATATGTTTCAATCAGATCTCCCCGTTGCCTGCGTTGCTCCAGTGTAGTTAAGTCTAGTTCAATAAGGCGTTCCTCATATGACATGTTTTTTAATGATATAACCATTTTTGTAGCCCTCCGTTGTACTTTTTCGAGCATTTCTATGTCTTTCTTGAAGTATGGATTCCATATTTGAAATGTGTACTCCAAGAGCGGGCGGATGTATGTTTTGTAGATCTTTATAAACAAGTCTTTTGTTGTGATGTTAAAAGCTTTTCTAACCACATACAGCATGGAATTAGCCCTCTTCACTATATTTGTGATATGTACATCCCACTTGAGGTTATGTGTGATGGTTACCCCTAGATCTCTTTGGGAACTTACAGGTTTCAGTTCCACCGAACCAATCTTGTATTTCAACTTCGGGTTGTTGTGGCCCATATGTAAAACGGTACACTTCGTTGCATTTAATGGGATGAGCCAGTCCTGTGTCCACTGTACAATACGATCCAAGTCCTGTTGTATAACGCTATGACTGATGAGGGGGTTTCCCAATATTTTGGTATCGTCAGCAAACACAGATAAGTCTGATCTAATAGCACTTCTGAGGTCAGTAATGAAGATACCAAACAAGACAGGTCCGATCACAGATCCCTGAGGCACTCCGCTGTGTACATTGTGAGCTTCTGATAGTGTGTCCCCCAATCTTACTCTGAATTGTCTATTAGTTAAGAAGTCAGATATCCATTGAAGAAGCTGTCCACGTATTCCGATGTGCTCGAGCTTTGCTGTCAATCTTTTAATGGGAACCCTATCGAAAGCCTTTTCATAGTCCAGGTAAATAGTATCAGTTGGTTGATTGTTATTCCAGTTGCACGTCCACTTGTCAAGGCAAGTAAGAAGATTTGTGACAGTGGATCTCTTAGGAACAAACCCATGTTGTTTTTCCATAATAACATTCTCCATACTGATAAATTGCCTTATTTCTGCTGCTATTATTTTTTCCATAGTTTTACAAGCTATACTTGTAAGGCTGATTGGACGGTAGTTGGCTGCAAGGTATTTGTCACCCTTTTTATATATTGGCGTCACATGAGCTTCCTTCCACTCCTGCGGTAGTTTTCCTGTTTTAAGAGACACATTCATAATATGTGACAGTTGGTGAGAAAGCACATTGCTACATTGCTTTAATACTATTGAAGGCAGAGAATCAGGACCCATTGATGTTGTATCGCTGAATGTTTTGAGGGTTTTGCTAACAATATCTGGGGAAATTGTGATATTTTCAATAGATTTTTCAATGCGTGGCATCTTAATACATGGCATTGATGTGTTTGGTGGTTCCGCAGTATACGACTTTACAAATTGCTTAGCGAACAGGTTGGCCACTGTCTTCTGGTCATTGATTAAATTCTTACCATCGTCCTTCAATGAGGGGGGTACTGACACCGCTGAAGAAAGCTGTTGGCGCACATACGAATAAAAGACTTTACGCCCACTATTTACGATTCCTCTTTCGAATTCCATTTTTAACTTCTTAACCAATGTTACAATTTTATTGTTTAGTCTGCGGTAATCTTTATATGACTCATCAGTGCCTTTAAATGAGTATATTTTCCACAATCGCTTTTTATTGTCTATCATTTCTAACACAGCCTTATTGATCCATGGTTTATTTATGTTTCGATTCGAGCGTCTGCTTGTTAAAGGAACATGAGTGTTAATAGCGTCATGGGTAATGCTTGTGAAATTATTCCAAGCTTGATCAACATCAGAGCAGTTTAAATCCATAATGTTGTTTTTTATTAGTGTTTCACACATTTCTCCATAATTAGTCTTGAAGAAGTTGTGTCTTCGTGAGCGTTTGAGGTGCTTTGTAGACAGTTGGTTTTGAATTTGTATTGTGGCTACAAGCACAAGATGATCACTCTTTCCTATGTTTGGATGGTGTTCTACTTTTGTACACAAATTAATCTCGTTACAAAGGATCAGATCCAACAAGGATTCTTCATCATTTCGCTTTCTTGTTATACTGGACACCAATTGATCCAAGTTGCTGTTTGTATACATATCTACAAATTCACTATGCAGTTTGTTGTAATGGTCGACATCTACATCACACAATGGCCACTTCAAGTCAGGGAGATTAAAATCTCCCATTATAAACAAGGGTGTTTGCCCTTCAGATGCATGTTTGATAGTGCTGAACAGCAACCGGTCAGTATCCTCAAGTTTGTAATTTGTTGGTCTATATACACCCGCCACCAGGACTTCGAAACATCCATATTTTAAATTCAGCCAAAGAGCCTCAACAGCCGCGTGTCGGTTATATGTCGGATGAAGAGTTACCTGTATAGGCAAGCCACAAAGTTTGCACGAAACATAAATAGCCACTCCCCCCCATCCAGTTCCGTTCAATCTGTCATGTCTAAAAAGCATATAACCCTTAATATCGACTAAGCTATTGGGGATAGTTGGTTTAAGGTGTGTTTCTGTTATAATTATACATGTAGGTTTCAATTTATTTATCTCAATAATAAGCAAATCTCTTTTAGCCATTAACGATGCCAAGTTGGTGTAGAAGAATGTAAACTCAACAAAGGGATTGTTGGGTGTTATTGGTTTTTTGTGGTCACAATAGTTGGACTACCGCTTACATACTTGATAGTTAAGTCCGTTTCACCAGCCTCAATTCGACGATTCAGATTCTCACGTAGGATTCTCAAATAATCGCGTTGGTACGGTGTCAGATCGTTTTTCGCCACAACATTAGAGGGTAATTTTTTATTATTTTTTAATACATTTATTGCCGATTTTTTATTAGAGAAGATCACCTTAAGTGGTCGGGGTGAAGTGCCTTGTCTGCGCTTACCCAGACGTATGACAGCAATGGGCGTTTCAGATTTCGAAATGTTAGACAGCACCTGCTGTGCTTGGGTTTTATCATGATTAATACATACCTCTTTGTCCCGGGTATCATCTCCAGTCTTAAGCTGGCACTCACCCACACCAAACAGAATAACATTAGCACTGCGCCTCTTCCTTTCCGACAATTCGGAAAGAATTGTTTCTATGTCACCGCCTCGGTTTGGTTTGGACTTGAGAGTGTCTACTTCAATTTTAAGTTGGGAAACCATATTCCTTAATGCCGGTAGTTGACGTACTCCCAATTCACAATCAGGACACAAATATTTTAAAGTAGGAGACTGAAGCACCACCACTCTTAACGCCGTCGCCAGCAACCCACTACACTTCACGCATATTTGCCTTTCGCAACCATAACACTTAATTTTCGGATTCTTATCATCAATCTTAGGTACAGTTTTTTCACATTTCAAACATACAGCCATTTTCGTTAACAAGTATGCAACGGTATTTTAAGGCTACACTCGAAATGTGGTTCTTCGCGAAAGGGATAACACTTTCACTATTGTTTTGATCCTAGATTCTCGTAATAACACCAAATTCTGCGCAGTACAACTAAGTAAACTAATATTTAATAACAATTTTCGTAAGAAGTTGAAAAAACACAAGTGCACTCTTTAAGCGAGGGTAGACGAAAATGATTTTGAATTTGTAAATATATATATATATATATACAAATACACATACATATTTATGATTCTAATGACTTTTATTTAATTATCTCGTAGATTATTATATGTACGCCGCTGAAATTTTACAGGTAGACAACTGAACTAAATAACTAATTATTGGTATAACATTCAGTTTATATATCCTCACACAGGTTTATCGGTGGCCAAAAAAGGCCGCACACATTGTGATCGTGAACGTGGAGAGCTACATTTCATCATAACTTTTACTAACGAAAATTCGTATACATTTGAAGGCAGTTACAAGCAATAGAATAACGTTTAAATTAAGTCTTTAGAGGTCTTATTCAAAGTGTTAGGACGTATCGAAGTGTTTTTATACTTCATTAAATAATTTTTAAACGGTCCATTATTTTTGTTTTTTTATTGTTAAACAAATTAAAACGAATCCTTAAGAAGTAATGTACATAAGATGGTTACAATCCGCTGACCCGTTTCAGAGATCCAGCAAACCCACAAACGTTATGCCAGCTGGATATCGAATAACTTCGCAGCCGAAGAAACTACAAATACCAAATAAGTTGTAACATTTACCTCGTCCAGATAACTAATTATGTAGCTAATATTTATTTCAATATTCCAATTAAAAAAGAAAATGTCTGGCTGCGGTAACATTTCAAACATTACCCCAGCAGGAAATGTTTTTGACGTGACAACGTCTTATAAATTGGTTTGCCGGGTGACACTTCAAGAAACTGCGTTACGCTCCGCTCACGTTATGCGCTCACAATGAGAGCGAGTGAGAGGCACGCGTCCCTTCCACTCGGGCATGGTTAGCCCGCCTAAGAGCGAGAGAGACAGACATAGTCGTTGTCACGTAAAACTTTCGCCCGTATACCGACTTTACAGGCAACCAATATTTTGAAATTACTAAAAAAATTAAGTGAAATAAATTTAAAAATGTGCCTAACAATTACAGAAGGGGGGCAACTTATTATCTATAACGTTTAAATGATCATTTTCGACATTATTTTGCTGGGGTAACGCACACAAGAGAAACCCTCAGCAGTGTATGTCCATACCTCCTGTATCTCCTGCAGCGAGAGCGCGCCAGGCAGGTCGGCCTTGTTGGCGAGCACGAGCAGCGTGGCGCCCACCAGGCGCTCCTCGCGCAGCAACGTGTGCAGCTCGCGTGCGCAGTCGTTCAGGCGCCGCGCGTCGGCGCTGTCCACCACCCACACCACACCGTCCGTACTCTCGAAGTAGTTCTTCCAGTACGACCTGCCAATGGCCATCCATTTTAGGGTTGCTTCTCTATTATCAGTGTATTAACTATGAGTGTGAAAATTAATAATTGCAAAAAATAATTAAAAGTTACCCTAAGTTACCCTACTTTCGATTCAGTAAGGAACCTTTTGATTAATGCTGATGGTCATCAGTAATTAATAATAACTTCACAATGCTGACACACGGCCGGCTGTCTAGCCCCAAGATAGGCAGAATATACATTTAAAAATACATGCAACTTATGAATAAGTTACACAAATGATTGTGCTTATCACACAATTTTTCTCCTGGTTGGTAATCAAACCCTGATTGCTAAGTTGGAGTTGGTCTAGGTAGGTAGTTAGCAATCAGGGTCACTAACCAGTAGGCCAACAAGCCAGTCAATAAAATAACATAGTTTTCTTCTAAGGAGAGGCCTATGTCCAGCAGTGGACTATTATAGGCTGTTGATGTGATGATGTGATTATGTGCTGTACATTCAAGCATTTTAGTTTAGATTGACATTTGTTGTTTATAATTAGTTGGCATCCAAACTATTTTAAACTCAAATATTCTAATCGTAGAGTGAGTTTATATGTTTCCATTCTAAAGCAACTTTGTTCAGAACCCTTTTACATCTTAGATAAATACTTTATTTGTGGTGTACAAAGGTATTAGACATTATAAAGTAATTAACAACAGATGTAATGTATAAAGGGTGGCCTTATCGCTTAGTGCAATTTCTTCCAGGCAACCTTTGGATGGACTGAATTCATTTTGAACTGGTAATAAGTATACAGAAATTAGAGAAATAAATAAGGTCTTAACCTATCAAATATTTATCATACATAAATCCTACTAATCTATATTTATACATAAATACTATACATACATATGTTAATATACATACACTAATTTCCAACTAAGGGAGACAGATAATGCTCATACATCATAGTCTTGAAGGTGGTTACGTATTGCACATGTCTGAATAAAAACAGAACTAACAATAGTAAAAGTACTGTGCCTGAGGTACAGATATATTGTATATTGACTGAGATACAGGTGTGAGAGTATATATATGTTGATGTAATGATTTTGACTTCACTACTGTTTATATTAATTATTTTGTGTGGTGGATGAGGTTTTTCTCACAAAAACAAGAAAATAAAGGTATAATATATTTCTTTACACAATATGAAAAAAATAAAGATAAACTATTAGATTACCTCAAAGATTTTTGGCCGCCTACATCCCAGATGTTCAACTTGTATCCACGATGTTCTAAAGTTTTTATATTGAACCCTAATGTGGGAGATATAGTGTCAATCGGTTCGCCATTGAAACGTTTCAGTATCGTCGTCTTACCAGCGTTATCCAGCCCTCTAAGTGATGAAAAAAGTTAAGAAAATTTCATAGACTCCAAAAAAAGGTTAAAAGGACAGTCATCGTTTTAAAAAGGATACAACATTAGTATTCTCATTTCCTTCTCCTTTTGTCTCAACTTCTTCAATATTGTAAGAAAGCCCATCGTTTTTCAATAAGAATACTACCTATTCCTGTGTAAATATTACTTTATTCCATTATTTACTAGTCTACGAATGTTCTTGACTTCTTGATTTCTTTTTTTTTTGAGATGTCAATAGTGTCAATGTTAAGTTTTTCCATCTGTTCTGAAACTAGTAGACTTTCAGCCAACATAAATTACATTGATCCAAGTATTACCTACTTGATTAATTAGTTCACATGTTATAGAAAACCACCTAAAAAGTCACAATACGTACATTTCGGCAAAAAGTTGTTGAAATAATTAATTTGTATAAAAGACATCCTTCATTTTTTCCCATCAGCTGTTGTTGCTGTATCTATGTCTCTCATTAAATTAATGCTTACAGCTGACCATCTCCTAAAATGTATATTATATATTCTTAATTTCATCGAAAGCAAGTAATGCTTCATATTTCTCAGATTCTAATAAGATTCTAAGTTAAATCCCTTAAATTTGGTTTTTCCTTATATACCATAGCCAAATTCCATACATTCTTCAGGAAATCGAAATTGGAATCCATTAGTTACCATAGAGTACACATCCATCCATGGCCGATTTCGTCGCTGTCATGTCTTTTATTTAATTTCTGTTTCTATTATGAAGCACCTTCAATGATTTTAAGTGGGTTTATAGTGTGGAAGTGATCGTGTGGCGGCGCGGTCTCGGTGATACGGCTCGTTGGTCGGCAGCACCATGTTTAGTGGCACGGTGCGAGTGCGGGTTTGCGAGGCGACGGGTCTCAGGCCGACCGACTTTCAGAAACGGCATAACATGACCTTCGGGAAGCCAGGTGAGCCTCGTCTAGCAATTTAAATGCCTTACCTATATGTCGGCGCAGACGATCGTGCAAAGATTTTCTTTACAGGATCATGATTACGGTTTTAATTTAGAGTTGAAGTAGGACTAGTATGTTTACCGAGACGGGTGTTGGTAATTATATGTAAATACGGGATATGGTTGCAGACGATCAGCCGATAGACCCGTACGTGTCGATCGACGCGGACGAGCACCACCTAGACCGATCAAGCACCAAACCCAAGACATTTGACCCTGTGTGGAACGAAACCTTCATTCACGAAGTACACAATGTCAGTAGGTACGTTATCACGAATTTGATTATTTGTTTTCCTTTTTAACTAAATCTCGATGTCTTTATTTTTAAGTGACTCAGAAAGTAAGATAAATAATCCAAATAAGTTTTTTTAAATAACAAATTTTTCATTATTATTTTTTAAATATATTGACTTTTTTTTAATATCTCGCTATTGATGTTTATTTACGTTATTATATATAAATAATTTTTAATTGAATTTCTCATTTGCGACGTTTTTAATTTATTAACAAGTCCATCATAACATGACTCATAAGAACCGAACCCAATATCCTTGATACACAAATATCATATAGGTGTGTAATCTATAGTAGCCAGCATTTCTAAGTTAACATTTTCCTTAAAGCTTGGGGATCACAGTATTTCATGATGCTGCAATACCTCCAGATGACTTTGTTGCTAACTGCACAATTCCATTTGATGATCTGATGCATCGAGATAAGGAGGCCACAGATTTTTGGGTGAGTGACTCTTCAATATTACTAAAATTGTGAGTGGTTTAAAACTTTAAATGCTGCCGGCATGTTTATCTTGTATTGAAAATAGATATATCACATAAATATTGTCAGCACTAATGCTTATCCAAAGACAGTACAATAATTTTTATAAATACTTACCTTGAAGACTTTGAAAAGTTAAATATTTTAAATTTCTTATTTAATTTAAATTCCACTTCACTTTAATATCTTGCAGTAAGTACACTTATAAGACAACTTGTGTATTAAAAAGGTACCAAAAGACTGATTATAAAAATCCCTAGATCAGTATGTTTATCTACTGTTATCCCCTGATAAGATATAAGTGTGTGATATTTGTCTTACAAGAATTTTATCAACCATTGACATAATGTTTGTTGTTCTTGATAAACCATACTCGAGTGTGAAGACGTTCAGTATAATGTTTTCACTCTGTGTCTTAAACTGTGATGAATAATTTTAGAAGAAGATTCTCATGTCCGGACCCAAGATATGTTTATTTGGAGGAAGAGGTGTAGTGATTCGTTATGTTATCTGAGTTTTATTGCTCTCTATATCTGAAATTTGAAGTGATTCGAAGTGATTTGAATGCTAATGTAGACATGTTTTTTTTTGCTTATAAAATATTATTCCCGCATTAGAAATATATATTGTGTGTCACGGGGGACTTTACCATCATACATGAAACGGACACAAAGAACACCCAGACTCAGAATGGCAATTTGTGGATCACACAAAGTGGTGTCCCATGTGGGGATCAAACCCACAACACTCAGAGCAGTAGAAAGCGACCACTTAAACCTCTATGATATCTGTGCCGTCTGTATATTTAGGTCATGATGACTATGCTAGGTATGGCTGGAGCGGTAATAACAGTTTAATAAGTAAAAAGGGATCAAGGTCTTCAAGGGATTTGAAAAAAGTTGGAAAAGTTACTATATTATTAAATATAATAATGGAAATATTTCTTACAAATCGGACAGGAACATATCAGTTTGACACCTTACAGTATCTGTTTATAAAAAGTGATATTATTTACTCCTGTCCATAAGGCTCCATTTCATCAGTCTAGATTTTATAATGGGGATGTACTTTATTACTTGTAATTTAATGTATCTGTTCAAATCTAGACAGTATTTTCTACAAGTAATAAATTCTACAACATGATCTTTGTAGTATGATATCTTTTCACTTATTGTGGAGGATGTAACATTCCATAGAATATTATTTGGTAAGGTTAACATTATATGGTAAGGGCATACTTACCACATAATGTAATACAGTCATCATCAGAACCAAAACTGACTAAAGACATGTGAGTTATTCACACCACCATTCTTTAGTAAATATCACTGTAATCATCATCATCCCATTCCTCATGATCATTATCATCTATGTACCAGACAGACAGAAATAACCCTGTAAAAGCTCTGTCTATAGATTAATAAGGTCACATGTTGAAAGATACATATCATTTCAAATAGTGACCAGTCCTTTTATAGTGTACAAGTCTCATCATCATCATCTCAGACAAAAGACGTCCACTGCTGGACATAGGCCACCCCTAAGGCTTTCCACAACAACTGGTCCTGTGCTACCCGCATCCAACGGCTTCCCGTGATCTTCACCAGGTCGTCGAACCACCTTTTAGGTTCCGTCCGGTCCATCGACCTCCGCTCCGTTGACTGGTACGTGGTCGCACCTACAGAACTTTTTGGCCCTATCGACCGACTTCTGCGAGCAATGTGGCCCGCCTACTGTTACCACCACTTAAGTTTGGCAGTTCTCTGGGCAATGTCAGCGACCTTAATTCAACTGCGGATCTCCTCATTCCTTTTGTCTTGAGACACTGCGATATTTGGGACGAGAACGTGTCGCGCAGCTTCCCGAACGCTGCCCACTTAAGTTGATTTCGGCGATTGACCTCTTTTTCAAAGATCGACCTACCTAGCTGGATAGTTTAGGTATACGTCAACAACTTCGAGCCTTGTCTCCAATTTTCACTGAAGTGGGTGAGAAATGGGCGTGCGACATAATTTTCGTCTTATCCATGTTAATTTTAAGACCCACTTGTTTAGAGACCCTACTAAGGTCATCGAGCATTCTGCTAAGGTCTTCCATGGCTTCAGCCATTGGTGATATACTTGCCATTAATTCCATTCCAGTCCAGAAGCCTGAAGACGTCCTCCAGAGTCGCGGTGAACAGTTTTGGAGATATGATATGATATATCCCTGCCTCTCTTCGCTAAAGTTAGATAGGTTTCTGATCCTGTAGACGGACTGACAGAGTAGCGTTCTCGTACAAACATTTCAACACTTCGATATACCGATAGTCGATTTGGCACCGTTGGAGAGACTGTAGCACTGCCCAAGTTTCGATCGAATTAAAAGCTTTTCAATAGTTCACAAACGCCAAGCGTAGTGGAAGGTTATATTTTTCGGACTTAAGTAGATCCTGTATGTGGTTCTATGGTACTAAACCCTTTTCGGAAACCGCCTTGTTCGGAAGGCTGGAAATCGTCAAATCTGCATTCGAGACGATTCATAATGACTCTCGAGAACAACTTATAAACATAACTCAGAAGAGAGATCAGTCTATTATTCGTCAAAAGGGTATTATCGCCCTTTTTGAAGAAAAACACTACCACACCCCCGAACCATGCCTCGGGTGGCTTCCTTTAATTCTTCACTCGAGGCTTTGTTGTAATTGAGCTGTTTGAGAGCCATACTAATCTCGGACAAGCTGCGTTCGTCATATCTTCGGTATAGTGTCGGATTAACTGAACCCTTGGATCTTTCGACAAGTCAGTAACAGGGTCCAGTGTTGCCGTGTATAACTGTCCATCGAACTTCTTAAGCTCACTCAGAAGCTCAGGTCTCAACGATAAGAGTCTGCCATCGTCGGTCTTCATTTTCGTCAACTGGCTCTGCCCAATAGACGGAGCTCTTGCGATTTGCTTTGCTCTATGGCCTCTTAATACGCATAGTAGTATTAAAGAGATGGTATGGTAATAATTTGGCTTAGATCTTTATTCTGACACTTTGAGATCTGTCTATTGAGCTGCCGGTATTTGGACGGATCCTCTGCAGACTGCAGAATCATGTTGCGTCCTCCATGAGCTCAAGAGTGTCGTCAGAGAATCTATTGGTTCTATTTGTACCGTCGTACGGTCTTGAATAACTGAGACCCGACCGTATGGACAGTTTCCACTAATCTGTCACTGAGTTTGTTGGTATCAACGCAGTTCTCGAGAGATTCAAAGCAGTTTTGAAGTTCGAGCTGAAAGCTCTCGGGGTTTTGGATGTGGATGGGTGATAGCCAAGCTTGTTTCAAGCTGGTGTTGGTGTTGATATTTAATGTGCCTCTAACCAGTCTGTGATCGTTTCTGGTTTTTACCATATTAATCACAGAAACATCATTGAATATTTGCTACTTCGTCGACATAATGAAATCGATCTCATTTTTAGTAAGACCATCGGGACCCATCCAGGTCCATTTCCTGTGCTCTCTCCTTCGGAATAAGAGTTCATCATGTCAAGTCCTTCCTTCTCCAGCCAGTATTTGGCTTCGGTGGTTCTTTCGATCAACTCCAAATTGCTCTACTGGCAGCTCTTCACCGCTTCGTTTACCTAAACTTGCATTTAAATGCAAGGTTAGATAAACTAAGCGGTGCGTCCGCACGAAGCCCCTTCCTGACGAATGCAACTCTCGACGACACACTTTCGATCTTGACCACGTTGTTTACCAGTCTACACGTAATTTATCAGTTTAATTTAGGAGGATAGCCTCACCGCTGATCGCCGAACCTGTGAATGATTTTGTTTTGCATTTCCAGGTTGACCTAGAACCTCAGGGGAAATTGCATCTCAAAATTGATCTAAAATGGAATTCTCAAGGTCAGTTGCACTTCATGTCAATATAAATAGTCGTAATCTAACATCACACAAACACTACAATACACTTGTTTGTTTGACGTTAAACTAATTTAGTGTTGTTTTACTTTACATTGATATTTTTTGTTTGTTTTTCAAAATGTAACATAATACACACACTTTTTTGATAGACTGTAGTGCTTAGTATTTGTAAAGAATGCCTATGCTACGAGAGAAATAATCACGTTATAGAGTTATTTTAAAGAATTAAATACATGGTTATACGTAATATGTAAATAATACCTTTTATTTGAGACTTCGAAAAGACCACCCTTCGTACTTTCCCTTCGAGGGGATTAGTGCATTTCCAGTGGTGACATGAGTGTCGTGTTCCCAGCGGGTGTGGAGGCTCCGCGCGGTGCCGTGAGCGCGTGCTCGGGGGGCGCGGGGGGGCGCGAGTTCAAGGAGGGGGCGGGGTTCGCGCGCCGCCGCGGGGCCATGCGGCGCCGAGTGCACCAGGTCAACGGCCACAAGTTCATGGCCACCTTCCTGCGCCAGCCCACCTTCTGCAGCCACTGCAGAGAGTTCATTTGGTAAGTTGTACACTTCGAGGAGTTCATGTTGCACCAGGTCAACGGACACCGGCGTAATCCTAAGACGTTCATACGATATGGGCCTCTTCGACTGCGGTAGGTCTAAGTCCCGTTTACCCATTCGTGACTACCGGTATCTTTTAACTTATATACCGCAGCTCCCACGCCCTTTCCGTTTTCCTTATCGAACTTTACCTTTTTGGGTTGAGTCAGGCAGACAGTCGACCATAAAAGAAACCAGCCATAATATTTTCCAATGTTTCAAATTGCACCGACCTCAAATTAAATTGTGCTCAAGGGGTAGGAAAATGATGATGGTGGTAAAACGAAATCTGCCGACAGTTCAGAAGTGTCCTCTCAGTGCGTTTCGAAATAGTATTATGTAAAAATTGTTTTGAAAAGCTCCCCATAAAACTCTTATCGCCCTGCTCGCGGGTCAGAATATAGCTTGTTCGATTGTCACTCTTTTCTTGTGGTTGTAGTTTTTTAAATGATATCAAAAATTGCATAACATCATCTTCTGCATGGCGCCAGTCATATATAATGAGATACCTAATGAATTTAAAAAGTTAAATATTAGCCGTGTGCTGACGGATTAAGAATACAGAGTGTCACCACCCCTATTCATCCCGTGGGTGTCGTAAGAGCCGACTAAGGAAAAAACTACGCAGAATAACAGCACTGAAGAGAGAAGGAAAACTTGACACACCCTATACCTACCCGTCTGGCCAGCGTGGTATAGTAGGCCAAAATCTCCTTTCTAAGGAGAGGCTTATGTCCAACAGTGGACTCTTAAAGGCTGTTGATGTGATGATGTGATATATTAATCTATTTAAGAAGCGCCTTAATGACTTTTTAGTAAAGAAATGCTACTATGCAATAAGAATATATTTGCATTATTACTAGTTGGGTGATCCAATTATTGTTGCTTAATTAAATAAATTTATTTGTAACTTAATCAATTGACAATTATTTTTTACAAATTTTTGCATGCCGTTAAGGTAGACCGATGAGGACATATAAATAAAAATGTAACATCGTTGTACACCTTTGATCAGCAAATAAATATATTATGAATATGAATGAATCAATGTGTATGATTTATGAAGCTCTCCCACCAATATGTGCATATATGAACCACTTAATCCACGAGAGCATTTAGCACCGGCTTAGCATTTAGAATGTATCCTTTACATCCTCAACTTTATTAGTCCCGGCAGCTACTTAGCTATTTATTAGCCAGAAGGTTGTACTATAGTTACTAATTCTGTTATATTTTCTTTCAGGGGCTTGGGGAAACAAGGCTACCAATGTCAAGGTAAGATTTACCAAGATACATCAAGTCCAATTTCATTACTAGATATTAAATGATTGAGGATATGGAGGTGGTGAATAGAGTAGAACAAACGCGTCGAGTTTGACGTAGTCCGTGTTATATATAAAAATCAATGTGTATTTAATTATTTATGTTATTCCAAAACATATATAGTAACAGTTCTCTTTATTACAACCCGGTTAACCGAATCCGACAATCTGTTGGATCCGGTTACATTTCATCCGGTCCGGCCATCGAATCCTCTAAAATATAAAGGTCTCTGGGTATATTTACCTATAGTAGTGTACTGGTACTCTATTGATATTCAATATTGAACTTTATTCAGTTGTAGTGAGATGCGATATTTGTTTAAACGTGATAATTTGTCCCGCAGTGTGTACATGCGTGGTTCATAAACGCTGCCACTCTTTGGTGGTGACCAAGTGCCCCGGTATGAAGGAAGAGGCAAGTAAGGTAAGAGTGTCGTATACATTTCCAATATTTTTTTTACTAACCCTACAAGTAGGTACATTGTTAGAAACATTGTCTTTTGAATTTAGTTTAGTGTTTGTAAAGTCTTATTTGTCCCACTAATTAATGGAACACAAAATTCCTTACAAAAATTAAATTGCAGCAACAACGTGCTTTGTGTTATGTAACAGGGTCAACCATAGAAATATAAGCATAGAGTGAACAAGAGCCCCAATCTTGCAATATAGGCAACGAAAGAGATGGATCATAGATAGTTCCCTTTATCTCTTTCTAGTCGAGCTTTGTGGTGGCTAGAAAAAAATCTAATGTCTGGCCTGTTTTAAGATCAAAACCATACCTACTTTACGATAGCCAATCTCAGCTTAAGCTAAACAGAGAGAGAGGAAACTATCGGGCATAAATCTCTCTCGTTGCCTGTGCCACTTACAGGCAGCTGTACCCCGTGTTCTCTCTATGGTGGCAACTCACCTGTGACTCTTGAGTTGTCTATGAACGGCGGTAGTGAATTACTATTAGACATTAAAAATTGTGACCGCGATGTCTGCGTCCGTGTCTTGACTGATTAAAAATACGAAGGGTCACCACTCTATTCATCCCGTGGGTGTCGTAAGAGCCGACTAAGGGAGTTAACTACGGAGGACAACAGCACTGCAAAGAGAAGGAAAACTTAAAACAAACCCTATACCATTTTTTCTGGCCAGCGTTGTATAGCAGGCCAAAACCTCCTATCTAAGGAGAGGCTTAGGTCCAGCAGTGGACTATGAAAGGCTGTTGATGATGATCTAACACAAAAGTCTGCGGCAGCGTAATATTTTGTCTGTTTAGTTATGATCTCATGAATTGCTGTGTCAATTGCGTATATTGAGTGTAACTAGTTTAGTAGGCGGTTCAAGTTGCGTCGTAAAATTATCTCGACACGAGTGCCGCGTTGTTATCTCTGTGGTTTACAGTTTTATCCTTGTACCATGCCTTGATTAGTTGTAGCACGTTGTAGTCGTATTTGTTTGCTTACATTGTTTACAATTGCTGTTGACTATACATTGCTAGTTCTGTACTCATTTTGGATGACCTTCACGAGGGATAGTACTCAATGTATACTTAGAGCGAAGCATAAGTTTAATTCTTCGTTTTATGTTTACATTTTAATGCTTAAAGTTTCTAGTTGTGGACAATGCAATCTTCCCCTTTTTTGTCATTATATACAAATAGAAATGCAATGGCTACAAAAAAAATGCAATGGCTGGCAATACCCAAGGTCTGTAGGTGTTGCCAAATTTTAAACTATGTAATAGTTTACCATCGAACAGTCAGGTACTATTTAAACAAATGTTTGTTATTTTCATACATTCTGATTGGTACAGACTTAAATATAAAATATTTTTTTAACATTGTTATTTGTACAACTACACAGACAAATTTTCTTTTGACTTTTTTATATATATTGTAATAAATATATATATAAAGTCAAAATAAAATATATGACTTGTTTAAAGCTCTCAGCTCACTGACAATATGAATTTTGTTTGCAAGAATATTGCAATAACTTCAAATGAATTTATAAAACTCAGCACTCTTTGCTATTATTTCAATCACCTACTTATTAAATTATATTATATATTTAAATTAAGAAAGAAGACATGTATTTTAATTAAAAATTAACATCATAAATTACTCAATGTCATTAAAAAGCCAAAAATCAGCCATATAAAGATTAGTGATGTGCTGTGGATATCCGATCCGTATATGTATCCGCGGATCTTGACTCTAATATGCGAATCTTTGCGGATAAACATTTTTACGATTCGGTACAACAGTAATAAAGAGCTATTGAAATATAAAAAAAAATTGAATTAACCCCTGTTTATAGCGCTTCATTAATAATACATCAATAACAATACAACGTGTTGAGTACATGAGTGATACATCCCTCAGCAACAAACTGGCGTGGGCGTGTCGGGCGGGCAGCGTTTCAGTGTGAACGTCCCCCATCGGTTCGTGGTTCACTCCTACAAGCGCTTCACCTTCTGCGACCACTGCGGCTCCTTGCTCTATGGACTCATCAAACAGGGCTTGCAGTGCGAAGGTAACCGTGCTCATACTCCATTACTACACTGTACACACTACACCATTTACTGTACCGTTTTACTTGACATTGCTGTGACATTGTTAAGTCCCATGTTTCCGCCATACCGATGCATAGAAGTTGAGCTTTTGCAACCATTGTGGTATTGGGTTCGATTCCCGCTCAAGTCAAACATTTGTGTGCATGAACATTTAATGTTTGATTTGGTCTGGGTGTTTCTATGTATAATAAGTATATATTTATAAAAAAAAGTATATATGTATTGGTATCAGTTATCTAGTAGCCGTAGTAGAAGCTTTGCTTAGTTTGGGACTAGATGGCGTTGTGTGAATGTGGTAGAATATTATTATTCACCCAAAAATTTGAAAGTTCACACGAACTCGAAGTAGTGTAGTTTTATTTCAGGACATTCGGTTTTACATACGTATGTATTTCGGACCTGACGGGAGACCTTTATTAAAAGGCGAAGCGACCTTCTGTATCGGTGTCAGTGCAGCACCAGAATGTCTATAACCTTAAGGTCTGAATAAATATTTATTTAACTATAATAGTATTTTAACCTCGAGGAGATAAATTTAAATATCGAACGTATCTAAGATTGTATTGTACAATTGCAGTGTGTTCGATGAACGTGCACAAGCGATGTCACAAGAACGTGGCGAACAACTGCGGCATTAACACCAAGATGATGGCCGAGATACTCAACGAGATGGGCATCTCGCCCGACAAGAATCCACGGCCCAGAGCATCTAAGGTACATGTACCACTTTTTTATAATTCAATGATTACAGTGTAAAGGAAAAGGTAAAATTATTGTATAGCAGAGTAAAAGGCCATATAAAGATGTCATCTGTAGTAAGAGTCATTAATTTTACATCAACAGTGTTTAGTTTGTCATAATTACGCGTAAAAGTTTAAATGTGTAAAATGTGTCAAACAAAAAGAAATTTAAAAGCATCTTAAATATTGTTACAAGCTGGGGTTCGATCAGTTCTATATGTTTCAACTCGGGCCGACCGTAACAACATAAGTATTTAAAAAAAAAAACTGTTGCGTATAACTTGTTAATATCGGTATTCGCAACAATGTCAGATAAGAATATAAATGATAGCGTTATAACCAGTAGTTTAACTTTGTTTAGATTGTAATATTGGATTAATGTATTAGTTAGAGATGTGTAGGGAATTAAGTTTGCCGAAAGAAGTATTATAAGAAAATGATTTATTTTTTTGGGGGTTTCCCGTCCCTCTGTCGGGTACTAGAAGTGGTGTGATGTTTAAGGCGGCTACAGAGAAAATAACATCATTTGTCTTGAACTGTTGCATTTTTGATTTTTGTTACGTTCATGTTTCCCCCACTTTTCTGTACACACATTTATGATCTAAAATAGAGTCTACATAGTTCGCAGATAAAAACGATAATTAAAACGTATCGAATCGTAATAGTATTAGTCGAATCGAATGATTTTGAGGTATTAAGTCGTAAGCGTCTACTAAATATGGTATTTTGAAGTATTTATAGTCCATTCGCGTTAAGAAAATAGTGACGCATCGATCGCCTCCTGACTAATCAGGTTCCTAGAAATGGTGCGAGGCTCTATCGATGCGTCATTATTGTCTCGTGGTGAATAGACGATAGCGGTGTAACGTTGTTGTGTGGCAGTACCTGAGCGCGGCGCTGGAGGCGGGCGAGGGGGGCGAGGCGGGCGAGGGGGGAGAGGCGGGCGCGGCTCCGCCCGACGACGCGCGCCTCGACAAAGGTAACCGCGCTCTGCTCTACCGCTTGCCCTACATTGACGACGACACGGTCGGCTAGGTTCCCTACCGCAGAATTCGTTATTTTGTATTGCGATAATTATGTCTTCCGATTATTTAGTGATTGTCCGTTAACATGAGAAATGAACGACTCGACGACTGAATACTGAAGCGTGCCATATGAAATTGTACCGAACTCACCGTTTTAACGTTTAGTAAAAAGGTAACAGTTTGACGTATTATATTTACGACAAAATGAAAATGAAACCGATCGATTTTTAAATTCGAACGGGCCCCCTGCTTTACTTATATGATTGTACCGACTAACCACTTGACCCACACTAATATTAGAATAGTTGTGTAGCATTTAAAGTGAACACGTTACAAGTAACATAACTTAGCCGATAACCCCTAACAGTACAAGAGTAAGTGCAATGTGTAGAATAAGTGCCTTTATTTATATGTTTGCAGCAGCAACTTAGTAGGCTTTTGTGATTGTTCTTATACAGCGTGTAGACAATTTAATTCTTATACAGATGTTTGAAAAGTAACGACACTGCAGAATAATTCGCTGGGGATGCATTTTTCGGAAATACGTCAAATACAAAAGTTACAGGAATTTTCCCTGGGCTATCTATTGGTAACCTTGAAATTGACCTTTACCGCAACCTTGAAGGTTGTCTCAAGAGTCACGGACAATTATCAAATGGGTTGCGTATTTTTGAGCCCGGAATTGAAGAGAGATAAAAATTACAATCGCATATGACCTTCAGTACGTACATTTTGACCTCTAAAGGTCACCGATCCGAGGTCAAACTCAGACGTTTAGAGGTGAAAATATTGGTTTTACAGTAAGAAGTATTATGATTCATTATTTTTAAATAAAATCAGGATCCTATTTAAGAAATACGACCGTGACCTTAAACGACCTTGAAATTTAGATTAAAGTTTACTTATTCATAATCTAAGGTCTCCAATGAAGAGCCAGGAAAAACCCTGAATCTTGTAGCTTGTCTCTTGGCTGAAGAGAATAATCAATTTCCTATAGTTTTGTTAGTTGACCTTGGATTAGTGACCTTTAAAGGTCAAAATTTGCGTACTGAAGGTCATGTCCGATTGTAATTTTTCCTCTCAATTCCGGGCTCAAAAATATGCAATTCCATTTGAAAATTGCCCTTGACCCTTAAGGTTGCGATCAAGTTCACCAAAGAATAGCCAGGGAACATTTCTGTAACTTTAGTGTTTAACGTATTTCCAAAAAATGCATCCCTAGCGTATTATTTTGGTGTTCCGGTACCATTCTAACACCCGGTAAATTTTCTAGTAGTATAAATATTTTCCACTTATGTTTCGTAACAAATCAATTCATAAGATTAAATAGGAGATAATACATACTAAAGTTGCATAAATTCTTATATTGAAATCTTTTTAGATACTAAACGTCTAACATAAATCTGTATTATTATTTATTTATTTATACATGTTTATTGTACACACATGGCTGGACATCTACATTCGGCGATCTCTTACAGACAACCTTTACACGGATATTGTTTAATCTGGGTAGTCTATGGTGTACTTTACAACACTTTAGATAATTAATAGATATAAAAATAAACATACTAAATACGCACACAATATACATACTACTAAAACATATGAATCAATATAAACAATAAATACATACAAAGGTTATAAAGGTTATAATACCCAAATATTAATTTGGGACTTGTTTTTTGAACAATTGCAACGATTTAGCTTAGTATATTAGCGATTAATGACGAAATGATTAATGCGAAACGATGATATTCACGTTTATAAACGGGGAACAAAAATAAATAAATATATTTTTACAAATGATGATGGCTCGTGTGAGAATTATGTAACCTAACAAGGAGTAACGCACACAAAAGCAGTTTAAGTATGTATTTGTTTTGTCTACACGCTGTATACTGTTAGCGAACCCTACTTGAATATCGCTTGATGTGTAGCCACTGTTAGATACCCAGTTATGCTTATTTTATAGTTTTTATCTTTAGTTATTATTTATTTTATATTATTTTATTTTGAATAAACGTTGTGTTTATTTTTCACTTGTTTCAATTCGATTTGTGGACAATGTGAAACAACAATAATGAGTAGATTAGATAATTCAGTACCTCAATAACTATACACAGTTTAACAGCTGGACTTACTATCCGTATTGTGCCAGATGTACGTAACCGTATCCGCGGATATCCGAGAGGAAAGAAAATATGTATCCGTGTATCCTTTACTGTTTTATGGATTTTGACGGATTATTGATGGGTATTATTTAGTTACTGATATTATGAACCGTTATAAGGTGTTATTTGACTATCTTTATATTAAGATCAAACCAAAAATCTTCGTGAAAGGTGTAATACAAGGTGTATTAAAACAATAATTTAAAAAAAATGTTGTTACATGTGCGCGGGTAAGGTATTAGCATTAACTCCAAAAAAAAACTTAAGATTCGTATCCGCATTCGCAGCTATGAGTATAGACACCAATAATCTGCATTCATATCGGTATCCGCGGATATACATTTTCAACAATCCGGCACATCATTACTTATTATTCATAAATTAAAACACTGGGAAAGTAACTTTTTGTTTTGAGCATTACATTTGACGTAGATAAGTTTAGAAAGGAAAATTTCATCTAAATGCATATTTTGACCTAAATCGTAAGAGTTTCTGAGATATAGAAAATTTAAAATATTTAAGAAGTACCCCTGAATTGCTCAAAAGTAATTTTTAAATGATATGTACCTAACTGAGAAATATTACACGAAGAAATCAGAACAACATATAAGACTATTGACTAGACTTGCAACGAATAGTATATTCGGCAGTATACCGAATACCGAATATTCGGCGAGGCCCCTGACCGAATAGCCGAATATTAGGCAAAAGTATTCGGCTGGATTTTAGCGCCAAAAACTTGTACAGACGTGAATTAAATTATGTACCTGTTTTATGTACCAATGACTACTTAACAAATGATTATAAAAGAAATGAGAACCTTACCCTTCTAAATTTTGATTACCACAATAATTCAAATACATAGAATCCTCCATTTTTCCAATTCAGAAGATGATTATGTACCTGTGTTATGCACCAATGACTACTTAAATGATTATAACAGAAATAAAAATATGAATATATACGTAATCAATCGTTTTTAATTTTTCATTTTACCAATTATTTCTCAATGACAAAATATATTATTTAAGTATTCGGTATTCGGCCGAATAATATGTAGATATTCGGTATTCGGCCGAATATAATAAAAGCAGCCGAATAGGCCGAATACCGAATAGTAACCGAATATTCGTTGCAAGTCTACTATTTACTATTGTTCAAACTGCTTAATTATAATTACCACCATGTGTATGTATCAAAAAAATCTAGACGAGACTGTACATACATACGGTACATTATTTTCTGTACCGTATGCTGTACTGCTATTGTTATTACCTAAGTTTATCCCGAGAAATTTTTATATTTTTGCTTCAGCCAACAATTTTTTAGAGACCCATAGACGTGGAGAAGCAACCGTTTATTTTTTATTTGTCCTCTTTACTTTGTTTTCATTACCCCGCCATGACACAGCGCTCGACGTCCAGCAGGCGCCGTGGCGCTCGCACTGGGACGAGCTCCGGGAGATATTCACGTGCGACGAAGGTGTCTGCCTTTTTGTAAGCTTCGCATCAACACACACTGCCTATTCATATACCATAGATTACTTTTTTTACTTGCATCTAACCGAAGCGCATACATAGGACGCACAAAAATGATAATATCTATATATTTCAATTATAATTTAGTTTTTGGCAACTTTTGTACTCAAAGTTCAAATATACACTCGCCTTATTAGGTTTTGTCTGTGGAATCCCTCGCTTTATTGTAGATTTTGTCAGTTATTAACAGTTTTTCTGTTCTGAATGAAAGCTACATCTACATTTTCTGGACCCTTTACAATGTGTAAGCATAATGTTATTGTGATCCATTGGGTAGTTCATTTGTAAAATCGTAACAAACAAATCCACATATGTATTTATAATATAAAGAAAGATTTAATCCTAGAGTCTACTAAGGTTCTAGTAATTACTGCTAGCGGTGCGTTCCTACAAATGTGCTTCGTGTGGATGAATATCTACCGTCTATAATTATCTATGGCAACAGTGTGGGGCTTGGCTTGGTGGTGTATTCGATGTGCTTATGTACCTTGTGTGTGGTCACGGTGGTTTGTACTAAACTGTACCGGTAAGTATTTGTGTAAATATGGATTGGAAACGAGCTGATGTTTCTCTTCAAATATGCTAATATTACAATATCGGGGCTGCGTGTCTAAATTCTTATTTTAATATCGCTTCTTATTGCCAAAAAACTAATTAATAAGCTTTATGTTATCACAAACAACAGGTTTTAATTTTATTCTGAAGTAATAATCTAAGAGACGGCTAAACACAATATTTTTTTTGTTTTATTGTTGTAGTGAAAGTACTGTTAAATATATAGTACAATTCTTTATATATTTTTGTACGTTTAGGTCGATAAATTTGTCCATGCCTTTGCCAAAAATACAGAACCTATGTAAATAATATCTTTAAATCCAAATGGATCCGTTTAGCTGAAAATGCGGATACAAATAGTCATTTGTATCCGTACCATTGAGTAAAAAGACAGGTAAGTTACGAGGGAGATTTGGAGTAGAAAATACAGCTCTCGATATTAATGATTTATTTATGATGTTTATAATTGTTTTTTAATATTATTGTGTTTTTGTAAAGTCTAACTGTGTTATGACATTATATGTTTAATATGTTTAAAATGATGACATTCTAATTATTTAAATTACTTCGTGCAAATACATTGGTGTAAGGTAGTTTTCAATTCATACATTTTATGGGTAAAACCCGTGCAGTTCGTAAGTTATTTCGTACTTGAAGACATTGAAATAACGAATATTGAAACTTACAATTACTTAATTTATAATATGACAACTTATAATATATATAACACTTTATGGGATTCCTATATTCCTATTTTTAATGGGATTCGGATATCAAGTTGTTTAACCACTGCACTGTAAAAGCCTACGATCTCTATAGCAAATGTATGGTGTTTATTTCTTAAAAAAACAGCTAGGATCAAACGTTAAACGATTTTGGGTCTGGTCATCTTTTTTTTTGAAGACATGGTTTTGACTTTTACAAGTTGACTGAGGATATTATACATTCCTAATCGTTTGTTTTCTGGTTAATAGTAAAAAAGGGAAAGAACATTCTGTGGTGAAAAATACACATGCTTTTTTCTAATATTAATTTTGGTTGTTGGTTTTTAATTTTGAAAGGATATTGAGAAATAGGTTCATTTCTTTTTATTGGTCCGTCTGTTTGGTATTTATAAGGAAAAACTACACACCACTATTTTAGTATAGTTTAAAGCATTGACCTGACCTGAAAAACTCATTAGTTTATAATCTGGTGGAGTTGTTGGATTTTTCTTTAAGTAGTTTGTAGTCGACTGCACGGATGACGTAGTGCTTTGAGCGGTCGCTACAACGCTAAGGTTGTGGCTCCGATCCCCACACGGGACGACACTTTGTGTGATCCACAAATTGTTGTTCCGAGTCTGGGTGTTCTTTGTGTCCGTAGCATGTATGTTTGTAAAGTCCCCCGCGACACAGGATATATTCCTAATGCGGGAGTTCTGTTTTTTTAAGAAAAAAAAGTAACCAGTCGCTATCGTTCCTTATTTATTTAAAACACCAAATATAGAATGCTTATTATTAAACTGTATCAATGTAACCAGGAAATAATACTTTATTTTTTGTGCCTAACATTTGGTATGTTATTCAAATGTCCAGCAGTTGTCATTGCCATAATATAATATTCGAAATATAAAAAAAATATGTAATTTTTATGAATATAAAAAAAAGTATGGTGGCAGTTATTATTTGATGTATCACTGTCTAACTTCCACAGCTCACGTAACGCAAGCACGCTTTTAGCAGGTGGTTGGTCTCACAGTGTACTATTTTTCTTGTCTTTTAACATGGCGAACACTTCTATCGTTCTTCACTGTTTTCTGTCTCGGTCGCTATTCGTTTGTATTATTATTCGTGATCTTATGGAGTGCGTTGTGTCTAGGAGGCGATTTCGGTGTGAGCGGGCAAGACAAGGTTTCGCTGGACGACTTCCATTTTATCAAGGTGCTGGGCAAGGGTTCCTTCGGGAAGGTTATGTTGGCCGAGAAGAAAGGGACGGACGAGGTAAGGATTCGAACGAAAGCTTTAGTTTTAATCATAGTTACTGAAGATGGACGGTTTTTGACGTCCGTATTTCGGAGATGCTCACCTAGTTTAGAGACAAACGGGACCCCTTTTCAGGGGTAAAACGACCTGTCACGTTATATTTTTAATAGTTAACTCGCGATTTCAAATTTAGTATACTTTCACTTATGTACCTATAGCAGTTTTTCGTATTCGACTGTTGGTATTTCGCATGCGGAGTGTGTAACGGGTGCGCGGTCGCAGGTGTACGCGGTGAAGGTGCTGAAGAAGGACGCGATCATCCAGGACGACGACGTGGAGTGCACGCTCACGGAGCGGCGCGTGCTGGCGCTGGCGGCGCGCCACCCCTTCCTCACGGCGCTGCACTCCGCCTTCCAGACGCGCGACCGACTCTTCTTCGTCATGGAGTACGTGGACGGCGGAGACCTCATGTTCCAGATACAGCGCGCGCGCAAGTTCGACGAGCCCAGAGCACGGTACTGGCTGAACGTTGAACTTGACTCGTGATAACAAGTATACAAAGCCGACCGACAGAGGTGTTTGGCTCTAGCCTACCTTTGTAACGCATCGGTAGTACATTCGATTACCAAGCCGGTTAACGCGGTTTCGATGCCTGCTCAGTGCAAATATTTGTAAAATGACTATTTCCAGTGGTCGTGTCTTCTAATAGTACAGTCTATTGCCTACGAGTATATAGCATATATATGTGTTTTTATTAAAGAAATTAATTAATTTATATTTATCCGTATTCTATAACAGACATATTATGAACTGCTTTGTTTGAGTCTAGTTGTTAGTGACCCTGACTGCTAAGCCGAAGGTCGTGGGTTCGATTCCCACCCAGAACAAATATTGTGTGATGAGCACGGTCATTTGTTCTGTGTTTGGGTGTAATTTATGTATAATATGTATGTATTTAAAAAAAAATATAAGTATATTTACCAGTAGTCTGGATCAGACAGCCGTGTGTGAGATGAGATGCATGAGATATAAAAAAAAAGATAACTACGTATTATTTCCCAAGATATAATTGTAACTCACAACGCATTATCAAGAAAAAACTTTCAACTTTTATAAAACACGCTGCCTATCAGCTTTCTACAATCAACGTATGTATTAATGATCTCATGAATTTCCAGTTTCTACGCGGCAGAAGTAACGCTGGCCCTACAGTTCTTGCACTCACACGGAGTCATTTACCGGGATTTGAAATTAGACAACATCTTACTGGACAGCGACGGACATTGTAAGCTTGCTGATTTTGGGATGTGCAAAGAAGGAATTCTGGGTACGTATTACTTTTTATTTCGTTTGATGTTTAATTATCCATAGGCGAAAAATATTGCTCTCTGGGTTGAGAATAATAAACGTTTTCTAATCACGGCTCGTCAAACTCCCAAGTGCGTTAGGGGTAATTATTTTTCTCATCTGTTACTGTTTGACCAACTCTCGTGGAGGCTTATGATTCGATGTCTAATCTATCTTCTATTACTAGGGTATTTGTATCCTTTTTAGCGTATACATTATCATCATCATCATCATCATCATCAGCCTTTACTAGTCCACTGCTGGACATAGGCCTCTACTTAGAAAGGAGGTTTTGGCCTACTATACCACGCTGGCCATACGGGTTGGTATAGGGTTTATTTCAAGTTTTCCTTCTCTTTGCAGTGCTGTTGTCCTGCGTAGTTTACTCCCTTAGTCGGCTCTTACGACATTCACGGGATGAATAGAATATGCATATTTCTTTGATTCTTGGTTCAGGAAGACAATCCTATGACCTATACCACAGTTGTGGCATACATCTGTACCTTTAGTATTTCACAGGTGTAGAATGACATGGAATTTGATTGTTGATTTGCAGAAGGAGCAACGACCACTACGTTTTGCGGGACGCCAGATTATATTGCACCTGAGGTAATTTTTATACTTTTAAGTACAAGTTATTTGTTATTGACATCAGATAGCTGGTGGAGCAGTCTAAGTTTTGTACGTTGTAGTTGGTGTTCAGTCATATGGGCTGCACCTGAAAATCAGCCTTGAAAGGCACCCGTGGCTAACCAACAGTATGCTGAGCTGTAAAGAATTTTGCATGTGCCAAAAAAATATATTTCTTTCTTCCAAAATAAGAGTGTTACAGCACACTCTTATTTTGGAAGAAAGAAATATTTTTTTTCGTAACGTTACCGTTTTTAACGTAAATCCCGATTTATTTTCAGTGAGATAATTACTATAGGTTTGCTTAATCAACGATTTTATACTGCGACTGATGCGGGTCTTCTATACATGTAATAGTTTGTCATTTTGTAATCTCGAATGAAATAGTAAGCTGTTGCCGACACCGGGACATTGTTTATGACATAGGAATCGGGGATTAGTAAAATTTCAATTCTTAAAATGGCAGTTTAGCTTCGATTGTAATAGCTATTAATTTCTACAATTGATTGTACGGGATGCATGTCGTTTGTGCAGATTCTGCAGGAGTTAGAGTACGGTCCGTCGGTGGACTGGTGGGCGCTGGGCGTGCTGCTGTACGAGATGTTGGCGGGGCAGCCTCCTTTCGAGGCGGACAACGAAGACGATCTGTTCGAGAGCATCCTGCACGACGACGTGCTCTACCCCGTGTGGCTCAGCAAGGAGGCCGTCTCTATACTCAAGGGTACGTCAAAAGCAATCTTCTTGAGGAATAGGAAATTAATTTTAACATAGGCGAAGCCGCAGGCAAAATTCCGTACCGTATTTCTGTAACCTGTAGTGTAATTGTTGTGTAAGCATCTTTGTTATGTTCTTTGTATATATTTACATAGTATGAAAGTTGGTGGTCCTTCGAGCCGCACGAACAAGCGCTCTATGAATATTGAAATGAACAAGTGTGGCACCATTATAGATCCTTGCTTCCCTGTCCAGGTTTCATGACGAAGAACCCGTGCCGACGGCTGGGCGTGAGCGGCGGCGCGGGCGGCATCCGCGCGCACGTGTTCTTCCGCGACATGGACTGGGACGCGCTGCAGCTGCGCCGCCTGCGCCCGCCCTTCCGACCCAAAGTGGTGAGTACCGCGTACTTAGGGTCTAGTTCTGCCGCGACATGGACTGGGACGCGCTGCAGCTGCGCCGCCTGCGCCCGCCCTTCCGACCCAAAGTGGTGAGTACCGCGTACTTAGGGTCTAGTTCTGCCGCGACATGGACTGGGACGCGCTGCAGCTGCGCCGCCTGCGCCCGCCCTTCCGACCCAAAGTGGTGAGTACCGCGTACTTAGGGTCTAGTTCTGCCGCGACATGGACTGGGACGCGCTGCAGCTGCGCCGCCTGCGCCCGCCCTTCCGACCCAAAGTGGTGAGTACCGCGTACTTAGGGTCTAGTTCTGCCGCGACATGGACTGGGACGCGCTGCAGCTGCGCCGCCTGCGCCCGCCCTTCCGACCCAAAGTGGTGAGTACCGCGTACTTAGGGTCTAGTTCTGCCGCGACATGGACTGGGACGCGCTGCAGCTGCGCCGCCTGCGCCCGCCCTTCCGACCCAAAGTGGTGAGTACCGCGTACTTAGGGTCTAGTTCTGCCGCGACATGGACTGGGACGCGCTGCAGCTGCGCCGCCTGCGCCCGCCCTTCCGACCCAAAGTGGTGAGTACCGCGTACTTAGGGTCTAGTTCTGCCGCGACATGGACTGGGACGCGCTGCAGCTGCGCCGCCTGCGCCCGCCCTTCCGACCCAAAGTGGTGAGTACCGCGTACTTAGGGTCCCAGTTCTGCCGCGACATGGACTGGGACGCGCTGCAGCTGCGCCGCCTGCGCCCGCCCTTCCGACCCAAAGTGGTGAGTACCGCGTACTTAGGGTCTAGTTCTGCCGCGACATGGACTGGGACGCGCTGCAGCTGCGCCGCCTGCGCCCGCCCTTCCGACCCAAAGTGGTGAGTACCGCGTACTTAGGGTCTAGTTCTGCCGCGACATGGACTGGGACGCGCTGCAGCTGCGCCGCCTGCGCCCGCCCTTCCGACCCAAAGTGGTGAGTACCGCGTACTTAGGGTCTAGTTCTGCCGCGACATGGACTGGGACGCGCTGCAGCTGCGCCGCCTGCGCCCGCCCTTCCGACCCAAAGTGGTGAGTACCGCGTACTTAGGGTCTAGTTCTGCCGCGACATGGACTGGGACGCGCTGCAGCTGCGCCGCCTGCGCCCGCCCTTCCGACCCAAAGTGGTGAGTACCGCGTACTTAGGGTCTAGTTCTGCCGCGACATGGACTGGGACGCGCTGCAGCTGCGCCGCCTGCGCCCGCCCTTCCGACCCAAAGTGGTGAGTACCGCGTACTTAGGGTCTAGTTCTGCCGCGACATGGACTGGGACGCGCTGCAGCTGCGCCGCCTGCGCCCGCCCTTCCGACCCAAAGTGGTGAGTACCGCGTACTTAGGGTCTAGTTCTGCCGCGACATGGACTGGGACGCGCTGCAGCTGCGCCGCCTGCGCCCGCCCTTCCGACCCAAAGTGGTGAGTACCGCGTACTTAGGGTCTAGTTCTGCCGCGACATGGACTGGGACGCGCTGCAGCTGCGCCGCCTGCGCCCGCCCTTCCGACCCAAAGTGGTGAGTACCGCGTACTTAGGGTCTAGTTCTGCCGCGACATGGACTGGGACGCGCTGCAGCTGCGCCGCCTGCGCCCGCCCTTCCGACCCAAAGTGGTGAGTACCGCGTACTTAGGGTCTAGTTCTGCCGCGACATGGACTGGGACGCGCTGCAGCTGCGCCGCCTGCGCCCGCCCTTCCGACCCAAAGTGGTGAGTACCGCGTACTTAGGGTCTAGTTCTGCCGCGACATGGACTGGGACGCGCTGCAGCTGCGCCGCCTGCGCCCGCCCTTCCGACCCAAAGTGGTGAGTACCGCGTACTTAGGGTCTAGTTCTGCCGCGACATGGACTGGGACGCGCTGCAGCTGCGCCGCCTGCGCCCGCCCTTCCGACCCAAAGTGGTGAGTACCGCGTACTTAGGGTCTAGTTCTGCCGCGACATGGACTGGGACGCGCTGCAGCTGCGCCGCCTGCGCCCGCCCTTCCGACCCAAAGTGGTGAGTACCGCGTACTTAGGGTCTAGTTCTGCCGCGACATGGACTGGGACGCGCTGCAGCTGCGCCGCCTGCGCCCGCCCTTCCGACCCAAAGTGGTGAGTACCGCGTACTTAGGGTCTAGTTCTGCCGCGACATGGACTGGGACGCGCTGCAGCTGCGCCGCCTGCGCCCGCCCTTCCGACCCAAAGTGGTGAGTACCGCGTACTTAGGGTCTAGTTCTGCCGCGACATGGACTGGGACGCGCTGCAGCTGCGCCGCCTGCGCCCGCCCTTCCGACCCAAAGTGGTGAGTACCGCGTACTTAGGGTCTAGTTCTGCCGCGACATGGACTGGGACGCGCTGCAGCTGCGCCGCCTGCGCCCGCCCTTCCGACCCAAAGTGGTGAGTACCGCGTACTTAGGGTCTAGTTCTGCCGCGACATGGACTGGGACGCGCTGCAGCTGCGCCGCCTGCGCCCGCCCTTCCGACCCAAAGTGGTGAGTACCGCGTACTTAGGGTCTAGTTCTGCCGCGACATGGACTGGGACGCGCTGCAGCTGCGCCGCCTGCGCCCGCCCTTCCGACCCAAAGTGGTGAGTACCGCGTACTTAGGGTCTAGTTCTGCCGCGACATGGACTGGGACGCGCTGCAGCTGCGCCGCCTGCGCCCGCCCTTCCGACCCAAAGTGGTGAGTACCGCGTACTTAGGGTCTAGTTCTGCCGCGACATGGACTGGGACGCGCTGCAGCTGCGCCGCCTGCGCCCGCCCTTCCGACCCAAAGTGGTGAGTACCGCGTACTTAGGGTCTAGTTCTGCCGCGACATGGACTGGGACGCGCTGCAGCTGCGCCGCCTGCGCCCGCCCTTCCGACCCAAAGTGGTGAGTACCGCGTACTTAGGGTCTAGTTCTGCCGCGACATGGACTGGGACGCGCTGCAGCTGCGCCGCCTGCGCCCGCCCTTCCGACCCAAAGTGGTGAGTACCGCGTACTTAGGGTCTAGTTCTGCCGCGACATGGACTGGGACGCGCTGCAGCTGCGCCGCCTGCGCCCGCCCTTCCGACCCAAAGTGGTGAGTACCGCGTACTTAGGGTCTAGTTCTGCCGCGACATGGACTGGGACGCGCTGGGGATCACTCCGGCTGACCGTGGCCCATATGTGCCGGCACATCGCTCTCCTATGGTCAGACACATGAACGCAATAGACTCGTTGTGTCCATATTGTAGTGCGATGCAGCAACTAATGTGTGGTTTATTTGACTTTACAGAAGAGTAAGCGCGAGGCGGCCAACTTCGACGCGGAGTTCACGAAGGAGGAGCCCGTGCTCACGCCCGTGCCTAACGACGTCGTGCGGGCCATCAACCAGGTACGGACGCACTACACACTAGGCACATAAATATGTTAAACAATAGAGAGAACTCGTGAGAAACAACCTACAGTCCATTCGCGATAAGAAATTATTTAAAAAGCGTAGTATTTCGTACGTAAGCTTCAAACCTGATTAGTTCTAGTCTTGATCGATACGTCACTATTTTCTTAATGCGAATGGGCTATAGTATTACATGACTTACCTTAGTTGTACTGTACTGTGTAGTTCATGCTGGTTGTCTGTAAAAGGTCGTGAACTGCGATAAGGCCGCCCATTTCACTATTTATTTAAATATTTTTAGTTTGTACAATACTTTTTGTATTGCAATAAAGAGTACATATTTAGTATTACCGTTACAAAAAAGTGTGGGCCTTACGGTAGTCGCAAATGATGTACAATATAATTATGACATCTAACCAACTATCTGATGGCCTACTCTAGTACTCCTCACGTCCATTAGCTTTCTGTTACACACTTTCGTCCCTTTTCACGAAATCATTAAATGTTACACATCAAAATAGAATTGCTCGTCAAAATCAGGACTTTATCAGTAAAAGCCATGTATTACCATATGTAACCCACTGTATAAAAGTTACACCCGTGAATATAGACTCAGATAAAATTTAGACAGTAGCGTAATTGGCTAAGGCGTTGAACGGTAATAGTTGCAAGTTCGAACCCAACCCAGTACCCTACTGAGGGAAACCCACTTTGAACACAAACATTTGATTTACCTGGAGGGGTTAACAATAATACAAGTACCGCATTACTATTCCTCATGTTTAACAGTTATCCAACACATCGATTAAATTATATTTTCAATATTACGTGTTGTAACCCGTGAGTGATCGTTTGCAGGAGGAGTTCCGCGGCTTCTCGTTCGTCAACAAGGACTTCAACCCGCTGCCGCCGCCCGACAAGTCGCCGCTGGCCTGAGCCCCGCCCCCGCCCGCGCCCCCGCCGCTCCCCTCGCCCTCCTCGCTCCCCCCGCGCCCCGGCCACCCCTCACGCTAGCCTTCTCGCTTCTTTTCCTTATTTCGTGATCGGTTAGCCACTTCAGTTCACCGACGAGCTTACGTTAGGTACAGGAACGGAGCTGAAGATGGGCGAGATTATACCTCGCAGTCTTAGGGTACCGCGGGAAATTGTAAACTCGATATTCCTCGTGTCGGTACGGAGATCTACTGGCGCGAGTTGTTCGTTCAAATAAGTAGTGTGGGGTCTCTTTTAGGTCCGCACGGTGTGTCCCGCGGTACGCGTGTGCCGGTGAGGTCCGGACCCGTTCGTTTCCGCGCTAACCGATGGACGCCCACTGGTTGGTCTGTGATCGTTGCGGCCGATGCCGAGGCGCATGAACTTGTTACGGTTACACCATAATTGTATCGTAAAAATAATGTATTATAAACTAGTATATATAACGATAAGGTACGGTTAAATCCAGCGCGGGCTAAATACTTTTGTCTCGTACGTTTATAAATAAAGAAGACCGTCGAGTGCCGAACGGTCCGGCGCGTGCGCAGCAATATTGGACACATCCTTTTGTTTCATCTAACTCGCCTTTGTGTGTGAGAGGTCCTAACTAATGGCCCGCACTAAGTTAGGAGCAGATATTTAGGAGATATTTGCTCACCACGGGCATCGAAGGCCCGACTCTCCTCGGTGGCCACCGCTTCGGTCGGCGGACGTCTGGGATATGGTCGAGGTCTAAAAGTTGTTTATTGCTTAACATGAGGGCTCATAAGGGATATAGACAACTTGACCGACAGGACTCTTCACACACAGACACTTTTGTTAATAATAATTGCGAGACGCGCCTGAACTGTAATCCACTATTTCAGAAGAATCGAAGCGAATTGTGAACACTCATTTTATGGATTACTAGAAAATTAAGCTTTCATACGCAGCATATATCGAATTAAAACTATATTAAATTCGCTTTTCTAATGAAACGGCAAATGTGAACGTTTCTTCCGTAACCGTTCGGTGATAGCTGAAATTTTGAAGTGTCGCAAATAAAAAAATATAAAATATACTCAACCAGGTGTAGGGGACGGGAGATGGGGGGAGAGACAACTAGTAGACACTTCTGTTGATGAATGAATGAACTAACCGTTGACCATTTGTTTTAAAGGTTAAAGCAATTTATTGTTGTAAATATTGAAAAGCTGCATACATGGTAGTGCGCGGGTGGTGTGGCCAATGTTAGACTAATTTGCGGGTTCATTTAATATTTGTGTTGGCAACACCGTGACGCGTCCGTGTGGGAGAAATCTGTAAACCCCATTCGTTAGTAGCGTGTTATTATTGCAACTGTACGTGTGTGACTGTGTGTGTATGCGCGTGTGCGAGCTCGAGGGTTGCGCGGGTCTGGGGGAGTGGAGGGGGCAAGGGAAGGGGGCGATATGGGAAAGTTGCCGCCACAACACTTTTGTTCTAAACTGTACCTTGCAAATGGTGCTTTTGAATTTATTCGATTCGACATTTTTCTAATCAATTTTATGTTATAATCGAGATTGATCGATTACACAATTATTTATTGTTTAAACATATTATGACGATGCTCGTTGCGACGGGTGCAGATGAAATGTACCAGTTTTTCATATACAAAAAAAATAATATATAGAAACCAGTGCTATATCGTAGCGTTCCTACTGAGTCGCTTCTAGTCCCGCATGTAAAGCGAACATTTCCAATACTCATACCACTGAGATCATAATGTGCAGTATTTATACGCGTGTTACATTTGTACGGTAATGTGTTTGCTACAGCTCAGTGATGGATACACGTCCCACATTTATGTGCGACTGTACGACGGTTTTATTCACTTGAATGGCGTACAGCTTAAATACGCTAATTATTAAATTTAAAATAGTATTGTTTCGTTGTTTATATGTTTATGGCACGATTACGTACAAACGTAACATCCATTTGTATTATATAACTTGAGATTCTCTTTACGTATTTTGTTAGATCTTTTATTTTAAATATATTTCTGTACTAAAGTACAATGTTATTTATGTGTCTGTGCGAACGTCAGTCATACGATATAGAATCTATTTAATCAATATACGTCACACAGGCACAGACTTTATACACTACTAGGGTAGTGTGAGTTTATTTGACACGTATCGAGTATATGCGAAGTGAGCTCACACTAGGTCCCCAGTAGTTAGCCGAGGTGACGGCTCGGCTTCTGAGTTAAGTATTATTTCACTAGTTGTTAGTTATCGATGTAATACCAAAGGCTTAAGTTTAATTGTTAATTATATCGTTTAAGTTACATCGTGTTATTATGTCCGACTGTACTCGTTTTGTGCGGTACAGGCGGTAAGTGGGGGGGAGGGGAGGGAGTTGGGGGGGTCTGGAGCGTTGAGATCAATGCACAAATGTAATGCTTTATGTAGTTGTTAGTGTATAATAATATTATAATGAAAAAATAATATAAATATATTAAATTACATCTCTGTACGTGTTCCCGTGTCGATGCGTCATTATTGACACACGAGTGTCTTCTATTGACATGTTGTTTTATATTTGAGTTGTGCGCACGTTCACTGCGGGCGAGACTCGCGAGCGTGCCCGCCCGACTCCTTGTAGCGGTTTGAAGCTTCCTTTACCTTGTTGACGATTCTTTAGTGGCCATTTTATTTTTTTTAGTTGGTGAGAATTTGTGGAGTGGTTATTATTAACCGTTATAAATAACGTAATAGATTTAAATATTGTAGGTACATAATATTTATCGAAACAATAATCGGTTCTGAGTCCAATTGGTCTAATCGACAACAAGTATTTATGTATTTTGAGATCTTAAAACACGGAATACATCATTATATAAATTCTCACCATCGACTATGATAACCGTTAAATGTGTGCAATATCGCGTGAACTCTGCTTACAGCCTAATATACGTTAGGAACCGCCCGCGCGGTCCGCTCCCCCCCGGGGGCTCCGCGCGGTCATACGGCATCGTATTTAATATTTATGTACGTTTCTCTGTTAATAGCCGGTAAGTTAAATGTATGTGAAAATTGATTTTTGATGTGAGTCGTACTAATAAATAAATAGCGTATAGATAACATAGCGGTACGGGCGTTCGGCGTTCATTAATTTATTTCATACTGTGTGTTCGTTCACTAAGTGGTTTTTTATTCGTACGCTGTGTGTATGTATGTGTGTGTGTGTGTGTGTGTGTGCGTGCGTGCGCGTGTACGTGTAGGTGCGGCGGGGCGGGGCGGGGCGGGGCCTGCGGCACGCCCCGCCCCGCCGTGTTCGACGGTCGCTGACAACATAATAAATAAATATATATATTGAATGATGTTTACACACGTTTTGATAGTTTATTTTTAATGTTTCGAAATTTTACTTTTCGCTTATTTTACTCGACGATTTGACGTTTTGTTTTTTCGAGGGGTATAGATTACATATGGAATATCGCTTTGTTAGCTGTTAATCGAGTAGTACGATTTAAAGTAGCGGGAGCGTTTGCAGTGTCCTCGATATGTACGAGTTCGTACGAGCACCGAAAGTTATTTGTATAGAGTCGAGCACGCGACACTCGCATTGTTCGTAGACCGCGGCCTCGCGTCGGCCCGGCTCGACTGCACCGGTCCGGTGCCACCCTCTGATCTACTTCATCCTTACAGTTTCGCTTCGATAAACACGTCCCGGTGTCATTTATTAAAAACTTGGACCGTTTATGTTTTAGTTCATACGTAATATAATTAACTTGGTGACAGCAAACAGATCCTTTTTTAAACTTGAATCTTTCTTACCGATGGTGAATAGTAGCGCAATCATAATAAGCTTTGTATTATATCGTCTCTCAATTATATAAACGAGAATTTTACAAATATTTTGAAAACTATTGACCAAAGTTGGCAAATCAAAGTAGTCGCATCATCGATTGCCGCCTTCGTCGAATACTAGGATTCGATTCCCACATAATACGATTACTTTTATTTTTACATGAGTTTTCAAAACCTGACTGCACTTTGTGGCTTTTTATTGCATGTTTTTAAAGTACACGTATAACACTAGTGCTAATTATGAGTTTTACTTGAGAATATCGATAACTGAAACTAAACTAATAACTAACTAATACATATACTAATAACATAAAAAATATACGTAATAAGTTAATATAGTTACAGAGATCAGCTTCCACGAGGACTTAACAGTCCCTCCGAGTCACTAACGTTACTGTTTACCATTGGTTTTGACCTTCCGTTATTATAATTATTTTAAATCTAGATCAACTGAAATACCTCGTTATGACGCTTATTTCCTTTGTCTGCCTGTCACCGACTGTGCCAAAGTACCCCTCGTGTTATACAGGTGACAATGTTTACAATCACCGGTCAGTTTCAGGAATACATTTATTATTTTACAAATAGATAAATCATTTTTAATGTAATTCTACTTTTATAGTTATATTACCGGGCATTTCGCAAATTGACCGGCGATAATGAGCACGTGAAACCACATGTGAGGTTCTAGTGCTAGTTTATTTTAATCTACTCGCTTCTCACGGTGAACGATCGGCCCACGCTTAACTCTTCACCAATCACAACGCCAAACGTGGTCACCGCGACGATCCAGTAGATGTGAAATAAACTTGCACTAGGCCCTCTGTTATAAATAGCTTATTGTCTCAGCTTAGTGCGATAGCTGCGATCTGATGCGGTGTCCGATGCGATCGCCCGACTTTTAGTACAATTTGTCGCAGCGCACAAGTGAACACTATCCAACAAATGTAGCACCGCACTTTAGACTTATTGTTGATGAACGTCCAAAATGCATTTTATAGTGAAGCTAGTCGTGTCGGACTTGGCGTCAGTGTAGCGCGCGCCCGCCCAACGTGGCCCCAACACGTACTGCTGCCTGCTTCCCTGGAGCGGTTCGGTATATCGTTCGGTTCGAAGGACCATGTTGGTCGGCCGCGCCCGCAGTGGCTGCAGGTCGCTCGTTTGTCCATTAACAATGAAACGAAAATATGTAACACTGTTCGATGCCATTTTATAAACATAAGCCATTAACGCTAGCCGTAACTTGACATATCAAGCTGTATTCTCTTTATTTTTTATTATTGTCTATATTTATATGTGGGGAGGGTCGGTGCGGGCGGGGCCGTGTCGGCCGCGGCCGCACCGGCTCGCCTCTACTTAGTACATAATGTACTGTGTCAAACATAGCGCATTGTTTTGATTATACACACTGTATCTGTACTCGGATCACGGTTGACGAAGAAATAATGCTGAAGTACTTAAAATGTTAAATAAAATGCAGTGGGGAGCACTATTGTATACATTCGCTTATAAACCAAAACACACACGTTTGTATTGTAATATTACGTTCACTATTTAAGGATATCTACTTAATATGATAACATTTTCTGCACAATATTTAGTACGTTTACGCTCCACACTGTATGCGACCGGTCCCCGCGCAACGTTCAGTGACTGACTACAAAAACAGCGTGTATATTATAAGTTATTTTTTACTAATTTTTGAATGCTTATAAAGAAGGATTTTACGCTTCCCAGAGATTTTATATAGCCAAAGAATGGTATATTATATGTACAAAACGGCTGTAAGCCTTAGTTTGTTGTCTATTATTTGAGTACATATTTATTGTCTTGCCAATTTATACAACATGTAGGTGAACAGAGGACATGTATATGTGTTGTTGTGCTGTGATATACACTTGGACCGTTTCGAATCTCCCACGGAAATTATCATTTCCATGATCTGCTTCTGTTGTTGTCCCTGCGCGAGAGATACACAAATATGGGGTGGTGACGTCACTTACGCGAAGGGCGGGAGGGTGGCATGGCTTAAGTGTAGTTCACCTACCCTCACATGTAATCCGATTATCGGTAGTTGTACGTCGCCATTATCGAGGCCTCCACGGGGCCGTTATTTATTAGACATTAAGTATCTACTACATCCGAAGACTATGGAGTGGTCTGTTGAACGAATATTCAGTCGTCCTGACGGGTGCTTTCACCTTGTAATTATAAGAGATCTTATTATCGATATTTTTCAAAGGTTTACACGAATGCTCACAGTTTGTGACCCTTCCCTGTCCTTCCCTTTCTCTCACACGGAGGAGGTTTCTTACCGAGTGGATACATCACACATTCAAGTCAAAGAAGGGTACCCAAATATTTCTCCAACGTGATCTGAAATGTATATATATATATATACGTAAAAGTGTATATCACAACGGAACAGCCTTCGTTATAGTTTGTGTTGATATGTTATGTAGCTAACACAGAGGATGTGAGATCTGTCGGACCGAGGCTGTACTAACGGCTGGTGGGACTGTTTCTTAACAGTTTTTTGTTATTTTTAGATGTTGAATAATTTAATGTTACCAAAAAATAATGGATTTATTAAATTGCAGTTTAATCCGAATTTATGTTTTGTTACAATCAGTTGTTGGTATTGTTGAGTGTTGCGTGGCGCGTGGCGCGTGGTACAGCCTCGCCTGTATTTGTTGTCTCCTCACTGGATCACTATTAGAACACATTAGCTGAGTAAATTATTACATATAATATAGTTTTATGATGAGATAAATATGTATATGTAATCCTACATGTCTATTAAATCAATGAAAATAGATAATAACGTGAGGTTTCATTTATTTTAACCTTAACATCCTAATAATTATATATCAACCAGCTGACCCGGCAAACGTTTGCCATATACATTATTTCAAGAAAATATTGAAAAAAAATTAGGGGTGGGTCACCCTTGTCATTTAGGGGTATGAAAAATAGATGTTGGCCGATTCTCAGACCTACCCGATATGCACACAAAATTTCATAAAAATCGGTCGAGCCCTTTCGGAGGAGTATGGTAACTAACATTGTGCCACGAGAATTTTATATATAAGATTACAATGGAGGGAGGTAGAGGGGAGAAAAGGTGTGCGTTACCCCAGCAAAATAATGTCGAAAATGGTCATTTAAACCCACAAACGTTACTCCAGCAGGATTTCGAATAACTTCGCAACCGAAGAAAATACAAATACCAAATAAGTTGTAACATTTACCTAGTCCAGATAACTAATTATCTAGCTAAAATTTATTTCAATATTACAATTAAAAAAGAAAATGTCTGGCTGCGGTAACGTTTCAAACGTTACCCCAGCAGGAAATGTTTTTTTGAAATAACTAAAAAAGTTTAAGTGAAACAAATTTAAAAATGTGCCTAACAATTACAGAAGGGGAGCAACTAATTATCTATAAAGTTTAAATGACCATTTTCGACATTATTTTGCTGGGGTAACGCACACGGAGAAAAGTAGGTAACGGAACCTAAAGGAAATAGAACAGTTTCAGTAGTCCCATGGTTTAATAGTAATGGAACTTCTGAGACTAAAATGTTGGTGTCACTTGTCCATGGGTCTACTGGGAAGCGGATGAAACAGTGTCACGTGTTCCATCATGGGACAGCGTTACGGGACTAGTGGGATAGACAGAAAACAAGAACGTATAAACAAAAAGGAATAAATAAAATAAATAAATATAAAACAACATCGTTCTAAAAATTAACCATTTTGAATTACCCGCATAATCTGTTAATCTTGTTACACAAAATATACCTACTGATATAGTGATTACTCGTACACTAATTTAAACCAAAAAAATATTGCTCTGAACAATTTTTTACTACAATAATTTAATTAAAGATATTATTTATAAGTGATAAACAGTTTTATAAAAATAATTAAACTAAAACTTCCTACCTAAAATCACTAAAAAGCTAAAACTGTATTATTTATATTATCAAAAACTTTACTTAGTAACTATATGTTACCTATTCTCTATAAAATTCTAAATGAACCTAAGCCTAAGTAATCAAGCTATAATTATGTATTTACAAAGTTATAATGATTTATTTACAAAATTACAAAGTGACAATTCTTGTCTAAACCTAATTACCTATTAATTTTAATAAAATATTACTATAGTGCCCGTGTGGTGACGGATTAAGAATACAGAGTGTCACCACCCCTGTTCATCCCGTGGGTGTCGTAAGAGCCGACTAAGGGAGAAAACTACGCAGAACAACAGCACTGCAGAGAGAAGGAAAACTTAACACAAACCCTATACCAACCCGTCTGGCCAGCGTGGTATAGTAGGCCAAAACCTCCTTTCTAAGCAGAGGCTTATGTCCAGCAGAGGACTATTAAAGGCTGTTGATGATTACTATAGTGTTTTCTAGGAACCTAAAATCTGTTCCGCGACTTCTTTTTTATATTCGTTATCGGCGTCGAGAGAGACAGATGCCAAAAATATGTTTTTAGAGAAATGTCATTAAGGGCAAAAATTGCTTGCAACTGTTTTTTTGTTGTATGTAGTGTTAACTACGATAAAATTAGGTGCATGGTGTATTTTCGATCTATTTCATCAGTTATCATTCCCATTTTTGACTGACGCATGTCCTGAACTAGACCTTGTGTTGTGTGATAGCGATATCTCTTAAGAATCGGATATTGTAGTGCGGGGATGTTGAACGCTCTGCTAAAATCCACTTGGGCGGTGACGGTCCCAAAGGCAATGTTTATGTTGCGCTGACTCGACACTAAAGACTGCGTAATCATGGTTTTGCTCTTTGCGATTTAAAGCCACACAAAGCCAAAGAAAGCAACGATTAAGACTAATTATGAACATAAACTAGAACACTAAGACAAGCCAGGTATGCAGTGTAGGTTGCTAATTCAACCTTCAGCTTTCATGTCTTTGCTTTCCTGTACATTACTGGTTACTATGTTGGCATCTTAAAGTATCATCTAACTCCTAAGTGTTAAGGAGTTTTAATTTCCATCATCAACTCACCTGGATGACTTTAAAGAATACAACTAAAAGTCTAAACATAAAAGAACTATCCTCCGACTCCTAACCGTTAAAGAGTTGTACCTTCCATTACCAGCTCATCAACACAAGATAATGACAACCAGACGCAAATATTAGAATACATACTACGAAACACTAATATGAAACACATAATACGTGCCTATAAAATTTGAGGGTTGCCCTCGGTTTCCATGGGATCCCCTCATCAGATCCTGACTTCGTGACAATGGGATCACCTCAGGACTATACTCTTTCTAATAAAAAAAGAATTTTGTACATTGGTCCACAATATTTCCCACAATCCCCTCCTCCTTTTTGAAGTCGGTTAAACCTAATTTAACTTGTTTTTTATACAATTTCTATAGCAATAAATGCATAAACATTGAATAAAATAGCTGCTTAGTCTTGACATTATAATTGAGATGAAATAAAGTTGCGCTCTACGTTACGTGATATATAAGTACCTACCCTTACAAAAGGCGTATGTATAATATGGGTTTCGAATTTTAAAAGGTTCGAATTCGCTTTATCGAGTTTCGTTCACAATATTTTCGGTTATTTCCATCGCATTGTATATTAATGCTAGTATTACAAGTGTTAGTCCTAATCATTTTGTGACATAGTATATAATCATTTAATTTCATAAATTTATGGCAGAAAAAATACATTGTTATTTATACAATACAATACAAATTGCGTATTTTTTTTTAAAAATACATTCATTTAATTACATTTAAATTTAATTACATTAAATTACAATTATATTTTTTTTTTTTTTTTAAGTCAGATCATATAACCCGCCCCGCGTCGCTCCCGGTGCAAAGGTGCCCATGATACTGGCAGCATTGCCTCGCTGAATTGCAACGGACATTCTTTGCACCAGAAACGAGCCGGAGCGGGAGTCACCACTTTTTTCCCTAACTCGGCGACCAATCTCCGCAATTAACTTTTTAGCTTCTGACCCCCAACTGCCCAAAGTCTCCACCGCAATAGGCACAAAATAATAGTGCGTCTCCATTGCGGCGTATTTTGATCGCTTCCTACTAGCGGCATCCTCCGCCGCCGCCGCCGGGGCTTGGACGGTGCTACTCAGATGAGAGGCCGCGACTGTGCTAACGCATGTGGCGTCCCATACCAAGCACTTGCCGTTT